TTTAAAGGATTTTAGTGGGGGAGATGACTGGATTTTTTGTGCAGAGTAGTATTCTCCTGGCATCCTTGGGCAGTTGCAAGTTCCCTGAAAGCAGAGACCATGTCCTCTTCATCTCAGCAAATCCCACAGTGCCTAGTTCAGCATCTTTCCCACTGTCAATTTTGTTGATTCATTTTCAGATAATTCAACCATAATCTATGAAGAGAGTTATCTTTTATATTGGAACAATGCCTTGGGTACTCTGGGCCTTTATCTCAAAGACAGGTAATAGAGTGAAGTGGTATATAGAATATGTCGTCTCAATATGCACATACTGCAATATACATCTGAATGACCTAGGCAAATTCTGATTCAGTGAGTCCAAGGAGGAACCTGAGATTGTGTCTTTCATACAAGCTCCTGGGTGATAAGATGCTGCTGGTCCAGGGACCATATTTTGAGTAGCAGGGGCCTACATCTATGCTGCCCAATAAGGTAACCACAAGGCCCTTGTGCTTATTAAACATTTGAAATATGCTTAATCCAAATTGAGATGTGCTGTAAGTGTAAAATGCACACCAGATTGAAAGACTTAGTAAGAAAGAATGTAAAATATCTTATTAGTAATTAATAATAGTAATTAATTATATCTATTATATAATGATAGTATCAAGAATATATTAGATTAAATAAAATACATTTTAAATTAATTTTTCCCTGCTTCTTATTTGTTTTTACAATGCTGGGAATTGGACCAGGGCCTCACACATGCCAGGCAAGCACTCTGCCACCAAGCTGCATCTCCTGCCCTTTTGTAAATTTATTTTGAGATGGGGTCACCCTAAGTTGCTAAGGCTGACCTCAAACTTATGATCCTCCTGCCTTAGCTCCCAAGTCACTAGGACTGCAGGCATGCACAACCATGCCCAGATTCATCTGCTTCTTTTTATTTTTTTAATGTAACTACTCAAAAAATTTTAAAACTGCATATGTTGTTTATATTATATTTTTACTAAACAGCACTTGATCTAGAGTAGGAATTAGCAAACTTTTTCAATAAAGAGCTAGATCGGGGCTGGGGTTGTGGCTCAGTGGCAAAGCGCTTGCCTTGCATGTGTGAGGCACTAGGTTCAAGCCTCAGCACCACATAAATATATATATATATATATATATATATATATATATATATATATATATATATAGAGAGAGAGAGAGAGAGAGAGAGAGAGAGAGCACTAGATCATAACTTTGGTTTGTGTAGAGGGGGTTGAGGGGAGGGATGGGGTTGTGGGGACAGGAAGGACGTTAGAATAAGACAGACATTATTATCCTATATACATGTATGACTACTTTACTGAAGTGACTCTGCACCATGTACAGCCAGAGGAATGAAAAGTTGTGCTCCATTTGTGTACAATATGTCAAAATGCATTCTAATGTAAAATAAATAATTTTTTTAAAAAGGGGAAAAAAAAGAAGAGCTAGATCATAGGGTTTTTTTCAGATTGTATGGTCTCAGTCTGATCTACTCAACTCTATTGTAACACAAAAGCAAAGATAATATGTGAATTAATGAGTGTGGTTGTGTTTCAATAAAACTTTATTAACAAAAACAGATAGAAGTGGTAGCCTTGAAAACAATGGCCTACCATCATGGTGAAAGCCAGCAGCCTAGCAGCCATGAGAGTGGGCAGAATAGTGTTGGAGCTCCTTCCAAGGCTCATTCCCAAAGATTATTATTTGGCTTCTCTGCTGGTTCCTTGGAAGACCTTTCTTGCAAAGCTTTCTTTATTACACCTGATTCAAGAGCACACTCAGTGTGAAAAACATATCCTTGGGGCATTTGTCAAAAACAATTAGAGGCAAATTATTAACTTCACAGCTGCCTAATGCAATAGATAACAGCATAGGCAAACAGTCCTAACCAAAAGGCTTAAAAGTAAACATTAGGGAATGAGATGTCCGTGGGGTCTTTGAAAAGCTTCAATGTATTCTTGGGAATCTAGAAGGCTATACATATGCACAGGGTGGTGTGAGTACCCAAGGCTGTACGCAAGCTGTGAAAAGGCCTCTCCTCTCACCTCTGGCTGACCTTCAAGCTTTACATCGTATAGTGATAAGGTAGATTTGTCAACTTCTTAGCTGAAGGTTGAGGACATGCCCCCAGCACACACACATATAGAGAATCTTGGTAAAGATAGGGAGACTAGGCCTAGGAATACAGCTCAATGGTAGAGTCCTTGCCTAGCATATGTAAGGCTCTGGGTTCCATCACGAACACTAAAAAAAAAAAAAACAACCTAGAAGACATACTGGTTCTAGGAGTTTAAGGAAATTTCTGTCCTGTCATCAGCTGGCCACTAAGCTAACCATCAAAGACTTCAGTGACTACACATGACAAAGAATATACAGATTTTACGGAAATTATGCCAAAAAATCACTAAACAAATAAACACTAACAGGAATAATAACAAACTCTGGGGAAGGGGAAAATCTGATTTCCAGAGTTACCACATTATATAAATTTAAAGTCCAGTTTTCAACAAAAATTATAAAATGTGTAAAGAAACAATAAATATAACCAATATGTAGGAGGAAAAAATGATCACTATAAACTGTCCCTAAAATCATCCAAACATTAGAATTACTAGACAAAAAAATAATCAGCTGTTTTATATTATATACACAAATAATTAAACTATGAGAAAAAAAGGCTATCACTAAAAGGACAAAATAGGGCTGGAATTGTGGCTCAGCAGTAGAGTGCTCGCCTAGCATGCGCAGGGCCCTGGGTTCAATCCTCAGCACCACATAAAAATAAATGAATGGAATAAAAGTATTGTGTCCAACTACAACTAAAAAAATAAATATTTTTTAAAAAAAGGATAAAATATTTTTTAAAAAACCAAATAGAAAATCCCCCCCACACACACACACACATACAAAAAGTACAATATCTGAAATAAAAATTCACTAGAAGGGCTCAACAGCAGATTTAAGCAGGCAGAAGAAAGAACCAGCAAGCTTGCAGAGAGGTCAATTGATACTATCCAGTGTAAGGAGAAGAGGGACAAAGGAATAACCCGTGTGAAAATATCAAGCAACCTGTGTGAAAATATCAAGCAGAAGAAAATAAGAGAAAAGGAAAGAAAAAATATATGAAAATATGTGGCCCAAAATGTCCCAAATTTGAGGGAAAAGACATTGATCTTTATACCCAAGAAGCTACAGTAGAATCAACTCAAAGAGAACCTTACTGAGACACATTACAAACTGCCAAAGCCAAAGACAGAAAATTTGAAGGAAGCAAGAGAAAATCAAGTCATTATTACAATGAATCCTCAATGAGACACCAAGTCGGATCAGGAATCATGGATGCCAGAAGGCAATTGGAGGACCTATTCAGAGTGCTGAAAGGAAAAGAAAAACTGTCAACCAATAATTTTATATCTGGCAAAAGTATTCATTGAAAATTAAAGAGAAACTGGGTGCAGTGGCACGTGCCTGTAATCCCTGCTACTCCTGAGGCTGAAGCAGGAGGATTATAAGTTCAAGGCCAGCCTAGGCAACTTAGCAAGAACCTGTCTCAAAATAAAAAATAAATACTGGGAGATATAGCTCAGTGGTAGAATACCCCTCAGTTCAGTCCCCTGTAACACACACACACACACACACACACACACACACATACACCAAAAATAAATGAAGTACAAAATAGAAAAATATTTTATAAAAAAAAAAAAATCAATGAACCCAAATATTGGTCCTTTGAAAATTTCAGCCAAGTTGACAAAACTTCATTTAGGTAAACTCTCCAAGAACAAAGAGATTCAAATTAATAAAATCAGAAATGACAATGGGAATATTATCTCCAACTTTACAAAATAAAAAGGAGTAAAAATAAGAAAAAGGAATACAGGGAATACTATGAACAATAGTATGCCAACAAATTGTGTAACTTAGAGGTAATGGACATATTCTTAGATTCACAATACCAAAATTAACTCAAGAAGAAATATAAAATCTGAATAGACCTATAACAAGTAAAAGTGGTGGAGTTAATTTTTAAAATCTCACAAAGAAAACCCCAACATGATTTCACTAGTTGATTGTATGAAAGAATTAAAGAAAAATTGATATTGATGGTAATTAATTTTATTCCTCAACTGGACTAGATCACAAAGTGTCCAAATACCTGGTCAAGCATTATTTCTGATTTTGTCTGTGAGGGTTCTTCTAGAAGGCATAAGCATTTGGATCAGTACACTAAGTAAAGCATATTGCCTTCTCTAATGTTAGAGGATATCAGACAACCCACTGAAGGCCTAAAGAGAATAAAAATGCAAAATTTTCTCTCTTTCCTCCTTTCCCTCTCTTTATATACATGACTACTGAGCTGGAACTAGATAGTTTCTCTGGAGAACCCTAACTAATACAACTTCCCAACTCATTCTATGAGTCCAGTGTTACTCTAATACAAAACCAGATAAAGCAATCACAACAAACAATACTACAGTGGAGCTGGGAATGTAATTTAGTGATAGAATGCTTGCTTAGCATGCATAAAGCACTGAGTTCAATCTCAATGAAAGAAAGAAAGAAAACTACAGACCAATATTCCTTATAATACAGGTAAAAATCCCTAAAGTACTAGCAGACTAAATCTAGCAACACATATAAATGATTATGCACCATGATGATTTGGGATTTATCCTAAGAATGCAAGATTGGTTCAAGATATGAAAATCAGTCAAAGTACTGTACCATATTAACTAGAATATGAAATACTTACAAATAAATTTAACAAAAAGAGTGTAAGATTTATACTCTGAAAACTAAAAGGCACTGTTGAAAGAAATCAAAGAAGACTTGCATGCATGGAAGGGCATCTCACATTCATGGATTAGAAAATTTAATAACTTCATATTGTTAAGATGGCAATTCTCCCAAAATTGATCTGCCAATTCAGCATAATCCCTATTAAATCCCAGCTGGTTTCTTTTCTTTTTTCTTTTTGGCAGAAATTGACAATCTAATCCAAAACTCCGTATGGAAATGCAAGCGACCCAGAATCCCCAAAATAATCTTGAAAAGGAAGAGGACTCACACTTCAAAACTTACCATAGAGCTACAATGGTCAAGATAGTGTGATACTGTCATACAGAGAGACATACAGATTAATGGAATAGGACCAAGTGTGCAGAAATAAATTCATATATCTGTGGCCAATTGATTTTTCACAAGACTGCCAAGCATATTCAATGGGAAAGGAATGGCCTTTTCAAAAATGCTGCTAGGAAAACTGGATTTCCACATGCAAAAGAATGAAATTGGATCCATGTCCCATATCATATACAAAAATTAACTCAAAATGAAGTTTCAGCAAAACTATAAAACTCTTATAAAAAAACTTAGATGTAAATCTTCATATTCTTGGATTAGCTTCAAAGAACACTATCAAGAAATGAAAAGACAACTCACAGGATGGGAGAACATATTTGCAAATCATATATAAAGAACTTATAATCTAGAATACGTTTTTCAAAAAGCCTTAGAACTCAATTATAAAGGCAAAATAATCCAATTTAAAAATGGGCAAAGGATGTGAATAGACATTTTTCCAAAGAAGATGTACAAATAGCCAATAAGTACATAAAGAAATGCCCAGCATCACTAGCCATTAGGAAAATACAAATCAGAAACACAATGAGATACCACTTTGCTCTTACTGAGATAATAATAAAAAAGACAAACAATAGCAAGTGTTGACAATATGTAAAGCAATTGGAAATTTCATGTGTTGCTGGTGGGAATATAGAATGGTTTAGCCACTTAGCCACTTTGGAAAACAGTCTAGCAGTTCCTTTAAAATTTGGACTTACTGCCAGGCATGGTGGCACACATCTGTAATCCCAGCAACTGGGGAGGCTGAGGCAGGAAGATTGCAAGTTCAAAGCCAGCCTCAGCAATTTATTGAGGCTCTAAGCAACTTAACAAGACCCTATCTCAATATAAAAAATATAAAGGGCTTGGTGTGTGGCTCAGGGGTTAAGCATCCCTGCGTTCAATCCCAGTACCAATAAAAAAAAAACTTGGACTTACTAAATGACATAGAAATTCCACTCCTAGGTATATAACCACATGTGTTCACACAAAAACTAAAAGCAGAAACAATCCAAATGTACATCAATTGGAGAATGGATAAACAAAATGCACATACATGTAGAGTCATCCCTTGGTCTCCTCGGGGGATGGGTTCCCTGGAATCCAAAATCCAGGGATGCTCAAATCCCTTGTATAAAATAATGTAGTGTTTTCATATAATCTACACATATCCTCCTATATACTTTAAATCATCTCTATTATACTTATAATAACCACTACAGTATAAATACTGTGTAAAGATTTTTTGCACTGTATTGTTTAGGGGATAATGATAAGAGAAAACTCTGTTCATCTTCAGTACAAAGGTAATTTTTTAAAAATATTTCTGCCTACTCTTTGTTGAATCTACAGATATGTAATCAGAGTATACAGAGGGCTGCAGAGGGCTGAGACTGAGAAAGATATATATATATATATATATACACACACACACATCCATATTAACTAGAATATGAAATACTTACAAATAAATTTCACTATATATAAATTTAACTCTCGCTGTATATATATATATATATATATGTGTGTGTGTGTGTGTGTGTGTGTGTGTGTGTGTGTGTATACATTCTAATAGCTAGCCATTTGTGTATGCTAGATATTGTTAGCATGAGCAAACTAATTTTCACAAATTCATATGAATTATTGCCAGAGCAGTCTAGGATATGAGGGGTTTTTTTTAATTTTTGTGTGAGTGTGTCTGTGTGTGTGTATGTAAATGAAAGTGAAGATTATACTGTGCATTAAATGGGGTAGAATTCTGTAAAACACTTAGAATAGTACCTGATATATAGTGAGGGCTATATATGGGTTTACTGTTGTTATTTATTACCAGGAACCAGCAACTGTGATAGCTTTATTAATTAATTTGTGTGTGTGTATATATATATAAAATCTCCCCTGAGGATACCAAGGGCCAACTGTGTGTGTATAGATACACATTTATCATTCATCAGTTTATGGATATATGGGTTGTTTCTGCTTTCAGCTATTATGTGTGTTTATTATATATTATATACACATGAATACATATATTATGTGTGTATATTGTATATTATATATACATACACATCATATGCAGTCATAAAAATAATAAAGTACTAATACATGTTACAGCATGGGTAAATCTTGAAAACTTTCCAGTGAATGAAAAAAGACACAAAGAGCCACATATTGTATTATTACATTTATATCAAACGTCCAGAAATGCAAATCCATAGAGACAGAAAGTAGATTAGTGGTTGCCAGGGGCTGAAGGAAGGGGAAATGAATGCCTAATAGATATAGAGTTTCTTTCTTGGGTGATGAAAATGTTCTTGAATTAGATAGTGGTTGCACAACCTTGTAAATATTCTACTTATGAATATACAAAATTGTGTACTCTAAAAGGGTGAATTATATCTCAAGGATAAAGAAAGGAAGAGGGACAGATTTGGCCCATGGGATGTAGTTTACTGACCCTGATCTAGAACAATGGTTTTTGGAATCACGCAGGCCAGAGATATGATTCTAAATTTCAACTTACAAGCTCTGCGACCTTGGACAAGATACTTACTAGCTTTAAGCCTTGCTTTTCTTCTTTATGTGGTGGGGCTATGTCCAGTACCTCCCTCTTATTGTGTGAGGATAAAATTAGGTCAAACATAAACTCCACAAAGCCACTCTATCTCCAAGACCTTGAACTGGCAGGCACTCAATACAAATGAATGAATAAATAAAAGTTAGCACAGTCTCCAGCTCACACTAATAAATAACAATAGCAAACCCTTATGTAGCACGTATTGTATGTCAGGTACTATTGTAAGTGTTTTGCCCAAGTATCTCAAAAATATCTTTTTATGTGAATTCATTCAAATCGGGATACAAACAAGGCCCATACATTAGGCCTGTACTTTTTAGATTTAAGATTACTTGATAGCATTTTAGTCCTCATGAAAAAGTTGGGTCTAATCAGCTTGAAGTCTCTCTGAACATCCCAGATTCCATAAGACTAAGGGCTTCAGGATGGTCTCCCCCTAGCTAGAGAAAGGAACTAGACATTCAAGACCCAAGCCCCTCATCAGACTTTTTACTTGTTCTATAATCAGGAATGAAGAGGGTATAGGGTCAGGGAGAGGAAGGAGAACCAGAGAAATGCCTTGCAAGTAGGTTTTCGCTCTGTCTCCTGTCCAAACCCCCACCCCACCACAGTCCCCACACCACTGTTAGTTGACCTCGGAAATCTTTGGTTCAGCTGTATAAAAGTAATTGTAATTACAGTCATTCCTGGGAGTTCCTTACCATTATGCCTAATTACTCTACAGCATAATAATCATTATGTGTATCATTAAAGATGTGTCAGATTGACTTTGTCATGAGTTTTATTTGATTTCAATACTAAACTGCTCCAGTAGGCACAGCCTTCAGAGCTTGTAGATTGTGGTTCCTACCAGGGAGCAGGGAACTAGCTGTTTGCAAGCCTATAGCCAAGCACCCATGCCATACCATCCCATACCTTTTTTTCCCATCCGCTTCTGTGTGTGCTGGTTCTGCCAAAGCCCAGGCCAAAGGTGCCTGCCTGCCTGTCCTTCTTCTTTGTGGGCTGTACATCTGGGCTCAAAGCACAGCAGTTCACACTTACAAAGAGAAACAGCCAAAACAACAAAACCCTGCAGGCACTGCCAGCATCAACCACTGCTTCCCCCGTCCACAAGGATCTCAGTCAAGCTTCTTATTGACTCATTCCATGCAGCATCTTCATTATTCTCCCCATTTTGGAGATGGAGAACATGAAATGAGCTGATATGTCCAAAGTCATTGAGTTCATCATTAGCAGAACCAGAAAGAGAACCGGAGGCTGTGGATGCTGAGCCAGAGCTTCTGTGGGAGCCATGGCCAGGTCAGGCTCCATCCGTTAGGCATTCCTCTCTGGTAATGGATACATTTTCAGTTTTCAAACATATTAAATGAAGCTGTCCGTGCTGCTGGGAAACTTCCTCAGAAGCAAGCAGAGGAAAATACAGGGGTGGAGATGGGTAGCAGCACTTTCCAGTTTGAGTTTGTGAGCTATGTGATCCAAGCTGAGGGCCTGGCCCAGAGGCTGCCCAATGCCTTGTGCATCATCAGGCCGCATGTCTTGCTGCTTGTCAACTCAAGTAGCCACTAATCAGGTAAACCCAGTGTTGAAGAAATAGGTAAAACATCTCCAATCATTGCCTGATGAACCTGCCCTTTGAGTACTTCATAGGCCCAATAAGTGAGTTCAGTGCATGTTGGCTCAAATGCTCATTCATGCAGCCAGCCTTGAATGAGGACCATCTTAACGCCCTGCTTTGTGCTCAGAAAGCATCTTTGTGCTGTGTGGTTCTGCCTCCTAAGAGCTCCACTCACAGCCTAATGGGGAAGAAAGACATGTAAACAAATATGTGAGAGTGAGCTGGAGTGCTATAAAAGGTCTCCTGGAGACACAGGGAAGGGAATGAGGAACTCTGGCTTTGGGAAGTCAGTGAAGACTTCAAAGAGGTTACATTTGAGCTGGGTCTTGAAAGATGAGTAGAAATGGTCTCGGCTGAGAAAGGAGGCCAGACATTCTCTGCAAAGGGAATAGTGAGCAGAAAAGCAGGGAAGTGTGACAGAGCATGAAGGAACCCAAAATCCTTTTGCAGATGTAGGGTAAACAAGTTGCCATTAATGCATCTGATGACCTTCATAATTTAAGGTCAGACTTCAAGGTGGACCTTCACTCCCATTTGCTGCTTTTCCGTGGATGTACCCTGCTTTTGTGATAGCCTGTTGGCCTTTCTGTAGTTTTCCTGAACTTAGCTCAAAAGCTGATGCTGAAATATGTCCATTTTGTTTTGTTCATTCAAAATTTTGCACCACAAACACTGGCCCATTGAATGACATAGATACCTGTCACTCCAGGTTTCCTGGAGCAGCAAACAAAGGTCTTTTTTCCATAAAGTCAAACCTAGGAAAGCAGAGTATACTATCAAGGAGGGTGGCACAAAAGTCTTTGAGGACAACTGGACTCCATGTGCTAGGTGTTTGCTGCCCCATATCTGTTATCAACTGAATGGTGTGTTTGTTTAGCTACTGACCACTGTCTTCATTAAAGGGACATTAAAACTCTATCAATTTGAATGTGGTAAGGTGATGAATCATCCTTGTGTGGACTCTTAAATAAACTATTAGGGTACAAGCCTAAGTGTACCTTTGCTAATCTGTTGATGAGCAAAACCACATGCAGAACCTTGAAGGGGCCCAACAGCCACCAACTGAAGTTTTTGTAATGGAAATGAAAGCCCCTTCATTGGGCTAGAGCTCTTCTCAAAATATCTTCCTTTGATCCTCAGAAACAACCCTATAAGGTTGACAGGGTGGAGATTCATGTCCTCATTTCATCAGTACAGAGACTGAGCCTTGAAGGGTTAAGTGATTCCAAGTGGTTGCAATGTTGTTGGAAAGAAAATCCCCTGACCCCAGTACTGAGGAGTCTTCTGACTGACCCATGCTGCCTTCACCTATGGCGGGTGGTCCAGGAAAGCACCCACATATTCACAGGACAGCTGGCCATGGGAAAGCATGAAGGCTACTACTATGGGACAGGCTCCCTACACTTTTCAAAATGTGTGTGCCTTAAATAGTACCTTCAGATGTTTGCCAGGTTCACCCCAAACTAGTATGTTAGATAAAGAGTGATAAACAGCAACCTTGGCGAGCAAATACCCCTCCAAGATATAAGTCACTTCCTTCTTACCAGCAGGATCAGATTCAACCTGCATAAATCTATTTTAGTGTATTTTAATTGCTTGTAAACTAAGTGTTTCCTGGATATGCCACTGACCATGAATAATTAGAATCATTTCAATGACTGGGTTTTCGAAAGTGAATGGAAGAGCAGACAAAAAGGGCTGCTCAGAAGCGAGAATCATTTGTTAAAGCCTGAGTGGGAGCATTTGTCTCAGCCTTCTCCAGTTTTGTTTTGTTTTTTTTCTTGATGTCACTAGAGCTGCCTGTTTTTCAGCTACTCTGGCTGCCCTTCATTTTTTGTGCATCTCTCATGTTAAGTAATGCCAGCTGCTGACAGCAACAGGGCCCAACTGGCCACATGTCAGAGTCATTCATTCACCCAACAGAGATGTGTGCAGTGCCTACTATGTGCCAGGTCCAATCCAAATCTCAGAGATTAAGAACAAGGCCCAGTTCCCACCATTTGGGAAGACACTACCTACTGGGAAAAAGAGGCATATAAACAAATAATTACAGTAGGATGTGATAATACTAGAATAGAGGCTAACATTGAACTGTGGGAACACAGGGGAGGAACATCCATCTGGGGGAGCTGGGGATGTGGGTAAGTGGCAACATTTAGCAAGGGCTCAAGGGAAGCAACAGAATGACCAGATAAAAAGGAGTGAGGAGAGACACGTAGTTCAATG